CTAATATTTCGCACCTTCCAGCCTGAGAGCCTGGTATAAGGCAGGTGTATAATCGTTGTTAGTTAAAGGCTCCTCTTTTATCTAGTCTTGCTTGGGAGAGGGGGACTCCTGAGTGATCTTCTAGAACGTAAAGTCAGGGCCAGCTTTCGGTACATGCAACCTGCATAGCTAGGCAGGGTCCTCACTTTTGGAAAACCCCCATTTAGTTTAATGCTCTGCTGTTGCTGTCTTGAAATGCTTCATCATTTTTGAACATAGGTTCCCACATTTCATTTTACACTGAACCCCATCAATTAGGTAGTCAGCCTTGTTTAAAGTGTTGTGAGCCACAAGAGGTGGTAAGGACTTGGGAATCAGGTTCCCCCTTTAGGTCTGACTGCAGTGGTAGTCAGCCCTGGGGCAGCTTGGAATTGAGCAGGTATGTGTTGGCTGAGCACTTCCTTTGTGTCTTCACCAACATCATGAATCATGGTAGCAAAAGACAATTGTAGTGGACTTTATCATGACCATTAGTAGGACTGGTGTGTCATCTTGGGGAATTAGGTATGATTTTCCATGGTGAAAGGTGGTTCTCCGGTCCCCATCTTCAGGTAGACCTGTAACAGAGGTGAAGCCTGCGAGCTGCAGCCCGAGCTTCTGGCAGGGGAGACTCAATTTCTCATTAAGGACACACCCAAAGGGCATCGCTACCTTTGCTGACGAACATGGCAAAGGACGATGCCCACTGTGTTTCTCTGACCCAGTTCTGGAGGCTTTAAACTTGTTCTTACGATTTTTTAAATGCCAAGAAGATACATTACTCCTGTCACCATTTCTCTTTTTCTTCTTATAGATAATGATTTAACTGACGGTGTTTCCAGTTTAGCTTTGGCCACCAAGAAGCTCAAAACCAAATTCTTGGCTTAGGCAAAGCAACTGCGTCAAACTTCCAAATAGCAAGAACGAGAGCATGTATGGAGCGAGAACATATCCAGATGCCATATGTTCTTTAAACGGATCATCTGTTGATCCTTGGTGGCAGCTCTGTGGGGAAGGTACTTTGATTTGAAGAGCTGAAGTCTTTCCAGGTTAAACCGCTTGCCCAAGTGTACCTAGCAAGGAGGTGGTAGAGCTGGCATTTAAACTGATTCTGGAGTTCATATTCTTGAACACAGATCTCCAGCACTTCTGTTCGCGACCTTGATTGCCTGGATGTCAGCCGAGGTGCTTGATTCTTTGTGGTTGTCATTTTTTTTTTGAATTTACCTTTCCCACCACCGGATTTATTATTATTATTATTATTTGAAATGTCTTATGGGAAACTATTTGAGATCCTTTGTGTAAACAAGGCTATGCATAATGAATATACTTGTCTTGTGCCTGGTTGCCTGGGGCGTCCTCAGTAATGGAATGGAAATCCCAGAGGCCTAAGAGTGGGGCCTGATCAGCTTTTCAGTTCCCTGTGGGTCCCTGGCTGTAGTTGTGCTGAAGACAAAGACCAGAAGGGAAGTTCTCAGCCTTGGCCTGGGAGGGTTTTAGTTCCTCCTCTTCCTCTCTCTGAGAATTTCCCCCAGCATAATCAGAAAGACTAAAGTCAGCGAAAAGACTCCTGGTGGCTTTCTTTGCTCTTTGGTGACTGTGGCCTCAGAGACTCCTGGGAAGCCCATTCGGCCCAGGCCCAGGCCTGAAGTTCCTTTTTGTACTGTTTTCTGAAGGCAAGTGAAGCTGAAGCTGAGCCAGTTGCTCCAGAATGAACCGCAGCTCTGGAAAGGGGAAGTAGAAGCCCAGCTGGTTCTGCCATGGCCTGCGAACCACAGATGGACCCCGGTGGGCTGGCTGGCCCTTTGCCCACCTCCTCCGCTGGCTGGAATGCCCTGCCTGGGGGGAGCCCTCCTGGCTGGGGACAAGGTAGGTCAACTTGGCATAGCAAGACTAGGGTGAGGGGAGAGGCACTCAAGTTCCTTCAGATAAGGGTGGGCATCTTAGAATACATTTCCAGGCCACTTTCTGTCATTTCTACCCGGTTCCATCACTGCCTCTATAGACTCAGCCACCATCACCCTGTGCTTGGACCCCTGCTGCAGCCTCCCAGCTGGTCTTTCTTCCTTCTCTTCTCCGCATATCCACACATACCACTTTCTGCTTTGGTATTCCCGCTGGGCTCAGCATGAAGATCCAGCATTCACCAGCTTGCAAGGCCTGTTCTATGTTGTTTGTTTGTTTCTTTTGGAGAGATTTTTTGATGTAGGGCACATGTGCTTTCCAGAGAGACAGTGAGAAACAGAGACACAGAAAATGAGAAATCACCCCCCTCGTCCCCAGGGAGGGATGGCCACACCACAATCCCTTCTCAGGATTTTTGGCATGACGCACCTGTGCCTGGCATAATTTTCAAGCCCCTGGGTTTGAGATTCAAACAGCAGTCCCTCTTTGCATCTAGGTTCTCCCTGCCTCCTCCTGGTTAATTTCCATTTATCCTTCAGAACTCAGTTCAAATATCCCTTCCATGAGGCATTCTTTTTTTTTTTTTTTTTTTTTTTTTTTGCGAGGTTTTCTTACTGAGGGCAGAAAGACAGAGAGAGACAGAGAGACAGAAAGCAAGAAATCAACCCCAGGGGGGATGGTCATGCTGCAATCGCTTCTCCTCCATTCTTCACTCGGGATCTTGGGCACGCATGCACACGTGCCTTGGCATGAGTTTAAGCTGCCGGGTCTGGGACTTGAACCGCGGTCAACTACATGGGAGTCCAGTGACATAGCCATTACGCTGGTTGCTGATACCCATGAGGCATCCTTTTTGATGGCCCAGCCTATGTCAACACCCTCTGATATACTCCTCTTTCTGCATACAGTGTTTACCACAATCAGGAGTAATTATTTGTGTAATAAAGTGTTGAAAGTCTGTCTTCCCCTTGAGGGCTCTATGTTGGCTTGTTCAACCCTCTATCTGTAGTAGCTAGCACAGAGCTTGGCCCATAGTACATGCTCAACAAGTATTTTGTTGAATGAATGAAAGAATGAATGACTGGTTATGCAAGGGGAAATAGCACTCTGAATTGTAGGGTCCACAGAAATGTGACTGGTTACTTAGAAAATGTGAAACTTGATGGCTTAACAAAATAAGGGTTTCTTTCATTAATACCAGTATTAGTAAAGCAGTTTGTGCACATACACACATGACAGCAGAAGGAAGGGAATGGAATGGAATAATTGTCCTTCAGTATTTTGAAGACATTGCTCCACTGATTTTTGGCAAGCCAGTTCTTTCTCCTTGTAGGATGTTGCTCCCCATTATACACCACACACACACACATGCACACACACACACACACACACTCTCACACAGTCATCTTTAGCTTTTCAGTGGTTAGGTGTAAAAAACAAGTATTTCAAAGCAGGGGACTTCTTGTTCTTACTTTAAGGAACAGATGAGAGAGAGCATTGCCAAGAATCCAGGATCTCTTGGTTTGAAAGACAAACAAGGCACCTAGAACGGTGTTTGCATTGCTCAGTGTGCAGAGAGCTGGCAGGAGAACGGTCCAAATTCTCCATCTCTGGAGCTAGGTCACTGTGGGCTTTGATCTGTTCTGTGGAGCGGAGAGCAAGCCCAAGACCCACCTGTGACTGCCTGGCTGTGCACGCTACTTTCACTTCTCTTTCTCACGTTCATTTTCCTTATTGACACTGGGCCATTCCTTTGCTTTTCTGGGGCTCAGTTTGCTTTTCCATGGTAATGTGCCCACCTCCCAGGGCCCTTGGAGGATTTAGTGAAATCATGACTATGAAGCCTAAGCCCAGTGTTTGGCACACAGAAAGATTCTCTACCTGGGACCTGCTCTTAGTATCAGCTTTCATTTTCTTTTTGTCTGGTTTTCCTCATGTCTATCTTTATTTTTATTTTTTAAGGTTGTTTTATTTTATTGCATGATAGCACAGGTGCATGCATGAGAGATAGGTACAGAGAGAGATGCACTCTTGAAAGGTGGACTACACTGTGGGCCCCCTTCCCAGCACTTCAGCTCATCAGCATCTTGATCACTTGTGTGCCTACCTCGTGAGTCTTCAGGCCAACCCAGGGATCTGAACCCACAGCGGCCTTGTGGCTTCTAGCATTGTAGTTCAGTTCACTCTTTTTTTTAGTGGTTTTTGCTATAGGGCACGTGCGCTTGCCAGACAGACAGAGAGAGACAGAGAGACAGAAAGTGAGAAATCACCCCCCAGGGGGGATGGCCACGCCGCAATCCCTTCTTCTCCATTCTCCTCTCAGGATCTTGGGCACGCATGCAAATGCGCCTGGCATGAGTTTTAAGCCACTGGATCCGGGATGTGAACCGTGTTCGACTACGTGGGAGTCCAGCGACATAGCCATTACGCTAACTGCTGGTCCCTAGTTCAGTTCACTCTTAACTGCACCACCAGGCTTGGCCCCTCATTTGCTACATTAAAATGTAATTGTATCAGTTTATCTTTCTGTGTTATTTTTATGAAACTACCTTAAATCCTTTTTGGAATAAGGCATGGGAGGGTAAAAATAAATACCAATACATCAGGGTTGCTTTTTCCAACCTGAGTTCTGATGGGTTTGCTTTTCAGTTATGATAACAATAGCAACTAGTTAAGCAGCACCTATGTGGTGCCAAATACTTTATGTTTAGCTTTTTTTTTTTTTTAAACTTAATTTTTTAATTTTTTTTTTTTTTTGGCTAGGAGGCACATGAGTTGGCATGCCATCTTACTTATTTGTAAAGTCTTCTGTAACAGATATGATCATCCTCCAAGTGAGGAAACAGGTCCAGTGGCTTAAGTTCCTTCCTCAAGTTTAGCTTGTTAGTGAGAAGTTGAGCTGCCATTTGAATCCCAAAGCTATTTGGCATGGACTTTCTTCTACCTTTTTTTTTTTAAATTAATTAATTTATTTTACATACTTTCACTGAACATCACCACAGCATACCAAATGTGATTTTCTAGCCAGAATACACTGTAAAGTGGTTTAATCATACATGTTATCATTAACAAATAATTTTCCATTTCTTGTTTCTTGTATATTATATATATATTTCCCCCTATTTCTCACCCTCTGCCATTTCCCATCCTCCTCCCACCCTGTCTCTGGTATCTGCAATTGCTTTCTATGTCTTTATTCTTTTCCACATTGTATCGATACACCAAATATCTTAATTAATCTAAATACTTTCAATAGTAAGTTCAGCTGATATAGACTTATCTGTGAACAAAAGTTGACTTTAGGCATGAAACTCTGTGGGTAGAATGAATATGTGTAAAATAGCACATATCTGAGGCTATATAGCTTACTGTGGTTACTAAATAGGTATTTTTTAAATACATTTTTTTTTAACTTCAAGAAAGGCAGTTTTAGCTTTAATAAATCAAAATAAAAAAATGTTAAGAGAACTGTGCTTAATGTTTCAAACTAGGAAACAGGTTAGGATTCTGTTTGAATAGTAGGTACATGGACCTGTCCACAAATTGAGAGAAGAAAAAACTCCTTAACACTGGAAAACAAAGCATAGAAGGTCAGTAATGTTTTAGTCAAAAGTCATAAAATTCTATTTCACCAGTTTAAACTTAAGTACTTTATCTTCTGTTGTGGTCCGATATTTCCGTTTAAATTCTGGAAGATAACGTTCAGCTCTGGACTTGTCCCTACCATTAAGCTGGCCATTTTTCTCAGCTGTTTTAGAACTCTTATTTCTGTGTGTCTGACTTTAGTTTTCCTGGGATAGCACTCCCTTCAGAACTTCTTGGAGAGCTGGTCTGGTGCTGGTAAATTCTTTCAGGTTTTGTTTATCTGAGAAAGTTCTTGTCTTCTCTTCCTATATGAAAGATAATCTTGCCAGATATAGTATTCTTGGTTGAAATTGCTTTTCCCTCAACACTTTGAATGTATTTTTCCCATTCTTTCCACACTCACATTGTGTTCAGATGAGAGGTCTGCTGCTAGCCTGATGGGATATCCTTTGTAGGTAACTTGACGTTTCTCTCTTGCCAGTCTGAGTATCTTGTCTTTATGGTTTTGGTCATTCTGGCTATAACGTATCTTGTGTCCCTTCTGAGAATGTTCTTGTCTTCTCTTCCCATATGAAGGATAATCTTGCTGGATTTAGTACTCTTGGTTGAAATGGTTTTTAACTCAACACTTTGAATATATTTTCCCATTCTTTCCTTGCTCGCATTGTTTCCGATGAGATGTCCACTGTTAGCTTGATGGGATATCCTCTGTAGGTAACTTGACGTTTCTTTCTTGCTAGTCTGAATATCTTGTCTTTGTCGGTGGTTTTGGTAATTCTGGCTATAATGTGTCTTGGAGGAGATATTCTTTGGTTGATTCTATTTGGGGTCCTTTATATTTCTCAGGTATGGATCTTTGAATGCCTAAGTTTGGGAAGTTTTCTTCCAGGATTTCATGTTAATGTCCTTATTAGTCTCTTCACCTTCTGGGATATCAATTATCCAGATGTTTGGACGTTTAATGGTATCTAGTATTTCTCATATATTATTCTCATTTTTTGGGCTATTTTCTCAGTCTTTGTGGTGGATTTTACTAGTCCAGCGATCATGTCTTCTACATCTGAGATTTGATTTTCTGAATGATTTAGTCTGCTTTTTAATAGTTTCAAAGGAGGTTTTGACCTCCTGTATTATAGCCTTCATCTTTAACAGTTCCATTTGATTCTTTTTTATGGTGTGTATTTCCTCTCAGCTCTCACAAGAACTTCCTCCCTCCTGGACGTCATCAGCTTTTTTCTTCTGGTGTTCATTGTCTGTCTACTCTTTTGTCTCTGTTAGTTTTGTCACTATGAATACTCTAAATTCTTTATCAGACATTTCCCTGAGTTTCATTGTACTGTCTGTGGATGAAGGGGAGTTATTCTTTTCCTTTGGGGGTGAGGTATTTTCTTGGTTTCTCATATTTCTTGTGCCCCTGCGGTGATTTCTAGTCATTTGATGGTTTATTCGTTTCTTCCTAATTTCTAGAAGATCAATCTGAGCAATCAGAAGTGTGCAGGAGGATGTTGTCGGCAAAACTTTTGGCATTGCGTTTTTCTCCAGGGGCTCTACCAGAGTAAATTCTCAGCAGAATATCCTCATTGCCTTATCTCTGAAATCACTAGTTCTCAGCTCTCGTGGCAGACCTGCATGGACTTTTTTTTTTTTTTTGGAGAGATTTTCACTGTAGGGCGCGTGTACTCGCCAGACAGACAGAGAGAGACATAGAGATAGAAAGCGAGAAATCACCCCCCAGGGGGGATGGTCACGCCGCAATCCCTTCTCCTCCAGTCTCCTCTCGGGATCTTGGGCACGCACGCACACGCGCCCGGTGTGAGTTTTAAGCCACCGGGTTCGGGACACGAACCACGGTCGACTACGTGGGAATCCAGCGACATAGCCATTACGCTAACTGCTGGTTCCCTGCATGGACTTTTTATACCTCACCATCCTACCTTCATATCTCCTACTACTTCCAAAAAAAGAAAATTTATTCATTTATATGTACAGGACAGAGGCCAGGGCATGGAGGCTTCTGGGATATAATGTGAGACCATATGAGAACTTCCCAGGAGTGAAAGCTATCCCCACAAAGAATGGGCAGTAGTATCCCCCATCACAAGGGATAGTTAAATGGAGACCGAACTACTTTATTTATTTAGGCAATTTGCTAGATAACAGGTGTTCTTGCCAGAGAGAAACAGAGAGAGGGAAGGAAAGTGAGAAAGTGCTCTCCATGGGGATGTGGCCATGCTGCAATCCCTTCTTCTCCATTTCTCCTTCCTTCTGGAGTTTTATCCATGCATGCACACACACCAATCATGCTTTTCAAGTCTCCAGGTCCAGGACTCCAGCTGCATCATCAGTTATGTGGGATCCAGCTACCTAACCATTACACCACTGTGACTGAGACTGGCCTAATTTTAAACTACATTGAAGAGATGATGAGTGGACATTTATTCAAACACTGTAAGGGAAACTCAAATAACTGAATAACTGTATTAGTCCATTTCTATATCAAATATCTATTTAGTACCTATTGTATGCTAGGCATTGAAACCAGCTCAGGGGATTCAGTAATGAGCAAACCAGAGTGGGGATATATAGTTTTGTGGAGGAGGTAGACTTCAATCCAAAAATTGCATACATTGGTACTCATCTTTGATGGCTGGCTGGCACTTATTGGGAGATTTAGCAGAGGGTTTTATCTGGTAAGAGTTTAGAGTAACTTGAAAAAAGTGATTAATGAGCTGGGATATAAGTGAAACATATGATTTAGCTGGGTAAAGGTCAATGGAAATGTTCTAGGAGTGGGAGCAGCATATGTGAACCCCCTGAGGTGGGAGAAGACACTACGTATATGAGAAGCAAAGGTGGCTGGTGTGGCAAGACTCAGAACAAGGTTGAGTGGCTTGGGGTGAGTCTGGCAGGATGCTGGTTCTTCTAAGGGCTAGAAGAACATCCTAGGTGGATTTGTCAGCAGAGCACTGGAAAACTATTGACGGTTTTACTTGGGATTAGTGTCACCTGGTTTGCTCTCTGGTCACTGTGTGGAGAATGAATTATAGGGGAAAGAAGGTTTGGAGAAGCCAGTTACAAGGTGACTTGTAGAGGTGCAAGGGGACAGTGAGAATGCTGAGAGGTACATGGAGTTGAGATTCTGTTGTCCTAGTTGGCAAGGCTCAGTGATGGATCGAATGATGGGGGAGTCAGCGTATGGATGGGCCAGGAATTCCCAGAAAGGTTGAGCTAGTTATTTGGCTTTGAAGACTTGGGTATTGCTCAGAGCTATGCTAGTATAAGTCAGTGTATTGGTGAATTACTTTTCTATTGCCACTGTAACAAATGACCACTAACACAGCAAGTTTAAAGCCACAATGTATGTATGTATTTATTCATTCATTCATTCATTCTTTAACATTTTTGCCAAAGGTCACAGGAGCTCACTGAATACACAAAGAATGAGAGAGAGAATGAGAAAACATCCCATATGAGGAATGGTCATGCCACAATCTCTTCTTCTCCATCTCTCTCTATCCTTTTGGGATTTTGCACATGCACGCATACACACCTAGTGTGTTTTTCAGGCTGCCGGGTCTAGGACTTGAACCATGCAGTTGGCCATTTAGGATCCAGTCACCTTAATCATCATGCCACCAGCTGGCCCAATTATATTATCTGATAGTTCTGTAGGTTAGAAGTCTGACTGGTTTCACCGAGCTAAAATCAAGGCATTGGCAGGGTTGTGGTCCTTTCTAGAGGCTCTCGTGAGAATGCATGTAGTTGCTTTTTCTACCTCCTTGAGCCACCCACATCTCTTGGCTCAGGACTCTTCTGCCATGGTCAAAACTAGTAGCGGTATATTCCTCCATGTCAGGCCATAGGACATCTTTCTCCGACTCTCTGCTTCCTTCTTCTACCTTAAAGAATCCTTGTATTACATTGGGCCCGCCCAGATAATCCAAGATGAGCTTCCTATGTAAGACCAGTGGATTAGCAACCTTCATTCCATCTGCAATTAAAAAAAATTATTTATTTAATTTTATTCATTATTATCATTATTATTATTATTTTTAATTTGACCAGAGACACACACAGAGAGAGGGAAAGTGGGAAAGCAAGCTGCCGGGTCTGGGACTCAAACCACAATTAGCCATGTAGGAATCCAGTGCCTCAACCACTGTGCCACCTGTGGGCCCCTCCATCTGAAATTTTAATTCCCCTTCACCATATTCAGAGGTTCTGGGGATTAGGGCATGGATATCTATGGTGGCCATTGTTCTGCCTACCATGATACTCACCTTTAGGTCCTCTAAGCCTACTGGGAATTTGAGTAATTGAGTTGAGATTCCTCTGCAGTACTTAAATAATGTCTACTACCTCATCCCCTTCATGTAGTCAATTATCTAGTCTCTGTGATGGGGAATTCACTACTGCCCACTCTGTGAGGACAGCCTTCACTCTTGGGAAGTTCCTTCTTCCACGGTTTCATGTTGAGTCCCAGACGTCTCCATGCTCTGGCCTCAGTTCTGCCTCCTGAGGGCTTCCCATCCAGTTGAGTCTTCCCCCACTAGAGATTTGAGGATGGTCCCTCCTTGTCTGAGAAGGTTGTCATTGCCAGACAGATAATGTCATCAGGCTCTGGGATTATCCTGGGTGGTTCTCATTCAGCCAGATGAAGCTTCTAGTCTGCTTTCAGAACTCCACAATGGCCAGGTCCTCACAGTTCTCCGGATCGACAATACCTGTGCACCCATCTCCTTCGACCTAGGAGCTGCAGAAGAACAACTCCAGACCTGGGGCATTCAGGTGAGTGCTAACTATGTGGAGTCCCTGCTATTTTACCTTCCATCCATCTACCTTTGCATCCACTCATCTCTCTTTTCATCCAGTTATTCATACACTATTTGTTAAGCACTCTGGGTTACTTGTGTGTGTGTGTGTGTGTGTGTGGGTGTGGCAGGGGAGATTTCAGGAAGGGTATCAGAACTGTCCTCCTTTCCCAAATAATTTCCTTTTGAATGTGTGTTTTGGGGTGCCACTCTGTGCCAAGCACTTAACTGGCTGTGCATTACAGAGGTGCACAGGACACAGTAAACATGCTCACACTGCTCACGGAGGAGACGGATGTATGTTGGAGAAATCAGGATGGCGGACCATAGATGCTGCAGCAGAGTAATGTGCAAGGCATTCATGGGAGAAAACGATGAACTGGCCTAGGGAGAGGGGGCAGTGGTGGTAGTTTTGAATGCTTTGCACAGGAGCAGGTTCTTGATCTGAGATCTTGAAGGATAAATAGGAGTGTGCTCAGTGGACAGAAGGAAGGGAATTTAGCAAGGAAGGTGCACAGGAATTCACTAGATAATAATGTAGCACATGTGAGCATAATGTTTCCAGGCACAGGGTTTCCAGATCTGTGGATCTTGAGGAGGATCCAGATCTACTGCTCACTGCCTGTGTGACTTTGGCAGGTGACTCAGCCTCTCTGAGGCTCAGTTTCATTGTCTGTAAAGACAATATTAATATCTGTTATTAAGAGTTTTTGTTAGGATTAAATTAAATAATGCTTAAGGAACAATTGCACCGTCTGTAGCATATAGTAAATGCTCAATAAATTGTAGCTATTATTGTTGTCATCAAGTGCCCACAGGTGCGTGTTTTCCTCTTTCTGAAGTCCCCAACATGCTGGGACCTCTTCTATACTAGATGGAGGTGACACATTAAGAATGGTGAAAATACACTACTAATTTTACTGCAGATTTTAGGATTTACTTCTTAAAAATGGAATGACATTCCTGTTTAGAACATTTTGTGACTACTGAGGGAAAACTTTACAAATGGACAGGGTTAAACTCACATCAACACTAGCTAGTTTATCGTTCCATGTTTCTTTTCAACCCTTGTGCAGAAGAACATTTTTTCCTCTTAAAGAAAGGGTTCCACTGTGTTTACCAGGCTGTCTTCAAACTCGCAATCTTCCTGACTCAGTCCCCCAAGTAGTCGGGACAACAGACTCGCACCACTGCACCAAGCAGAACGTTTTTCTTAAATAGTCATCCTCAGATGGAGTTTTCTTACTGGTCAACAGTATTCACTTTATTCTATGATGTTCCTGAGGATAATTCCAAATGCTTAAAGTCTGTTTCCTTTCTTTAATTTGATTTTTTAATGCCAGAGGGTGTGGGCACATGCCAGAAAAAGAGGGAAAGCACATGCCAGAGAGAGAGAGAGAGAGAAAGAGAGAGAGACAGAGACTGAGATAAAGCACCCTGCCCCCAAGTGAAGCCTGGCCAGGCCACCATCCTTTTGTTTGTTCCCAATTTCAGTTAGGATCCTGGGCACACATGCATATGCACTTTTGTTTGTTTTTGTTTTTGTTTTCATTTCTTCACATTTAATTGTACATCTCCATACCATACAATATAGTATTTTTGGTATTTCAAAAACATACATGGGCTGGGACCAGCACTTAGTGTAATGGCTATGTCGCTGGACTCCCATGTAGTCAACTGCTGTTTAAGTCCCGAACCCGGTGGCTTAAACTCACGCTGGGCACGTGTGCGTGCGTGTCCAAGATCCCGAGAGGAGAATGGAGGAGAAGGGATTGTGGCGTGGCCATCCCCCCTGGGGGGTGATTTCTTGCTTTCTGTCTCTGTCTCTCTCTCTGTCTGGTGAGCACACGCGCCCTATAGCAAAAACCTCTGAAAAAAAAAATACAAGGGTTTTTACCAATTTGGTGTGTTTATTAAACCATCAGGGTCAGGATTTGAACCATGGTTAGCCACGTGGGATCCAGCTTCCTCCATACAATCCTTAACCACTGCATTATGGGGCTGGTCCATAAATTTAATTTTCCTTCTTCCTTCCTTCCTTCCTTCCTTCCTTCCTTCCTTCCTTCCTTCCTTTCTCTCTTTCTCTCTCTCTCTCTCTCTTTCTTTCTTTCTGGAATTATTTATTTTATTTCATTTATCATTATTATTTTTAAATTTGCTACAGGGCATGTGCATGCACCAGAGAAAGACAGAGAGAGAGAGAAAGTGAGAAAGCAAGCTGCCAGATCTGGAACTCAAAGCATAGTTGGTCATGGAAGAGTCCAGTGCCTCAACCACCACACTACCTGCTGGCCCCAAATTCTATTTTCTTAAGTCTCTTCTCATAGGGCCTTTTTGTCTTACAGACAGTTTTGTTTGAGCAGAAAGATGCGGGTGATATTGTTATTGCAGTGTTGATAATATCACCTGAATGCCTGGTGTTGACCACAGGACTGGTGTGTGTATGATCTCATTTAATATGCACTCCCCCACACACAAGATGGGTACTCCTCATTTTATAGAGGAGGAAATGGAGGCTCAGAGAAGGGGGTTACTTGTGCCAGGTTGGACAGTGCATGAGTGGCAGGCCAAAGTTTGGGCCAGGGCTGTCTGACTCCAGGGCCTCTGCCTCCCTTTGGGGTTCCCCTAGCGTGCTGTGAAGTGCTGAGTCTCAGGCTGCAGGGATCCTTCTCTAGGAAGCCCTTCTGGATCTTGAGCTGTCCCTGTGATTTCTACCCAGTGCTCCTAGCTCCTCATTGTTCCCTCCAGGGCAGCCTGGAATATGCCTAATCCCTCTGCACCTGATAGTCACATGAACAGAAGTGCCTGCTGGCTGGTGGGCTGGAGGAGGGGAGCGGTCCTCCTGTGGCTGACTGACCTCTCTCCTGGAATGGCTGCTCAGGTCCCGGTTGACCAGTATCGGAGCTTGGCTGAGAGTGCCCTGCTGGAGCCTCAAGTGAGAAGATACATCATCTACAACTCCAGGCCCGTGCGGCTGGCCTTCGCTGTGGTAAGGAGGGAGGTGGCCCGCATGCTGACTCTGCGGTGGGCCCTGGAGCCTGGGGGTGGAGGTGGGGAGGGTGGGGGCTGGGCCCAGGCACCTGGGAAAGCAGAATCACCTGGCCCCAGATTCTGTATAAGAGGAAGTCTGGGAGTGGGTTGTAAACAAGTCCCCGCACACAAGATGGGTGTTGGGGTTTACTGTGGGCAGAGCCTGGACCTGGGAATCTGCCCGCCCACCCAGTCTCTGGCTCAGTGTCTGGCCTTGGCTAAGACTCCCTCCCCTCTCTGGAACTTGGTTTCCCCATCTGTTCAACAGATAGGTCCACTTCAGCTCTAGTCATATATACATGTCTGTACATGCGGGATAGGCGGGATCTTCAAAAAGTTCATGGGAAGTACATATGAAAAAAATTTGCATGGATTTAAAATTTCTTTGCACCAAAATAAACTTGTACTTTAATTCCATTTTTTCCCATGAACTTTTTGAAGTTCCCTCCTACATGTGCATATATATATTATGTATATACAAATATACACACGTAAATACCTCTGTCTGTGTACACGCATGTACACACACATAAACATAAACACATATATACCGCAGAGTCAGTGTTTGAACCCAGGCCTTCTGGCTTCAGCATCTGTACTCCAAACTAGTATGATTTATTGCTGTTTTTTATAGTTGATGGTCAAATGGCACACCTGACCATCAAGAACGCTTCTAAGGAGAAAGGAAAAGGGTGGAACCCAGCATTTAATAATTCCTTAGTAAGTGGGCACACTGGACCTGTGTCTTAAACACTGTTACCTTGTTAACCCTGTAACAACCTTGAGAAATAGGTATTATTATCCCAGTTAGCATCTGTAGATGAGGAAACTGAGGCTCAGAGAGGTGTTATAACCTGTCCAAGCCCACATGACAATAAAAGATCAACGTGGGCCTCAGATTCAAATTTATATCCCTCTAGAACCCACTGCCCCCCCCCTTTTTTTTCTTTGTTAAGAGAGAGAGATTTTTGCTCTAGGACAGGTATGCTTGCTGGAGAGACAGAGAAAGACAGAAAGTGAGAAATCACTCCCAATCCCCTCCGGGGTGGGGCATGGCCACTCCTCAATCCCTTCTTCTCCATTCTCCTCTTTGGATTTTGGGCATGTACACACACATGTGCCTAGTGTGAGTTTTAAGCTGCCAGGTCTGGGACTTAAACTGCCGTTGACCATGTGGGAGTCCAGTGATGTAACCATCATGCCACCTGCTGGTCCCACCCACTGCCCTTTTCTGTTTGATTTAAAATCCAGGTAAACAGGATTAGGAGTAGCTACTAACCACTTTTTTCTCCCTTTGCTTATAAATGTGAAACGTGTCTGCACTAGCCTCTCCTGGCCTGGTGGGCTGTTTGAATCCAAGTAGGAGCCCCTTTGAGGGGGCTGCTCTATCTGAGGACAAGTGTTCCTGACCCTACACTTCCTTGGCTTCTTGTAGGTTTTCTACGTGGTGGTGTGGGCCAACATCTATTCCACCAGCCAGATGTTTGCCCTGGGCAGCCACTGGGCGGGCGTGCTGCTCGTGACCCTGGCCGCGGTGAGCCTGACCCTGACCCTCGTGCTGGTCTTTGAGAGACACCAGAGGAAGGTGAGCTGTCCAGAGACCCCAGCTATGCACCCTCCAGGAGGGCAGTGCAGGTGTGAGGATCCCAAGTCAGGTTTCTCTCTTGCCTGCCTCAAAGTATTTCTCCAACCACAAAAGTTCACACTGACCCATGTGTCTGGTGACTAAAAGAAATCAAATCACATGCATGATCTAATCCTCTCTGTTCTATCTCATCCTTGTGGATTGTTTTTCTGGAAGCAAGCTGTGTTTTGAGAGCATTTGGGAGGATGCCACTCATAGCTGGCATCCCTATGGTACTTTGCTTAACAGAGACTTTTCTCATGCCTCCTCTCCCAGGATGCTCAGGACAGGGAGGTAGGGGTACCAGACCCACCTTGCAGCACTAGGTGCCCAAGGCCCAGGGATGGGACAAGGTGATGTACCTGGTACTCTAGCGACAGTCATGCCTCATTTATCTCAGCATTGATTGACTTCTGAGACAGAGCGGCTAGTCAGAGAGTTTAGGAAATTTAACCTGGATCCCACTGTAAGTGGCAGAGGCAGGGTTCAAAGCCTGAGCTCTCTGGAGAGAGAGACTGGTACCTCCCAGTCTGATGTATAGCTCTCTAAGTGTATTCTCTTTCTTTAGTGTCTGGCTTTGGTTACATACTGAGCACTCCATAGGCCCATGTGGAGCTCCTCTGTTCAGTGCTTTGTGTGTTATCTCATTAAATCCTCCACTACGCTCTAACACAAGGGTCAGGGAGATGCTATTTCTCTCGTTTTACAGATGAGGGGCTGAGGCTTGGAGAGACTCAAAGAGCAGCTCGTGGCCTTGGTTCTAATAAATGGGAGAACTGGAGTTCAAGTGTAAGGTGCAGATTCCAAGTTATGTTCTTTTTATTTTTTAAGGATTATTTTATTTAACTTTATTTATTTATTTTAATTTGAACAGAGAGGGGCAGAATGAGCAAGCAAAAGAGAGAGAGAGAGAGAGAGAGAGAGAGAGAGAGAGAGAGATAGATAGAGAAAGAGAAAGTGAGAAAGTAAGCCACCAGGTCTGGGACTCAAACCGTGGTCGGCCATGTGGGAGTCCAGCATCCTTGACCACCACACCATCTGCCGGCCCACCAACGCATGTTCTTAGTTGATACCTAATAGTGTGTGTTCTGTGGCTGCTGTAACATATAGTCATAAACTTCTTGGCTTGCAACACAAATTTATTATCTTACCATTTTGTAGGCTAAAAGCTCAACATGGGACTCAAGGGTCTGAAATCTAGCTGAAGGCTGCCTTCCTTCTGAAAGCTCCAGGGCAGTGGTCCTCAACCTTTTTTAGCACCAAGGGCCAGTTTTATGGAAGACAATTTTTCCACAGACTGGGGCTATGGGAGGAGAAGTAGATTCTGACTTAAAGCCTGCCACTAGATGCAGTTATACAATTGAAGTGTTCCATCTCACTTACCACTATAAAGCTTGTCACCAGGTGCAACTTGATTGTCACTTGCCACTCACTGATAGGTTTTTTTATTTTTTTTTTGGAGAGTTTTTTTTGCTATAGGGCGCGTGCACTCGCCAGACAGACAGAGAGAGACAGAGAGACAGAAAGCGAGAAATCACCCCCCAGAGGGGATGGTCACGCCGCAATCCCTTTCTCCTCCATTCTCCTCTTGGGATCTTGGGCACGCACGCACATGTGCCCAGCATGAGTTTTAAGCCACCGGGTCTGGGACGCGAACCACGGTCGACTACGTGGGAGTCCAGTGACACAGCCATTATGCTAACTGCTGGTTCCCTGATAGGGTTTTGATATGAGTCTTCAAGCAATTGATTTATTATGGTCTCTGTGCACTCCAACCTCTCTGCTAATGTGAATCAGTATTTGCAGCCACTCCCTAGTGCTAGCATTAGTACCTCAGCTCCACCATAGATCATCACACATTAGGTTCTCGTGAGGAATGAGCACTAAGGTCTCTCGCATGAACAATTTACAATAGGATTTGTACTACTATAAGAATCTAATGCTGCCATTGTTAGACAGTAGGCCAAGCTCAGGAAGTAACGTGAGTGATGGGGGAGTGGTTGTAAATACAGATGAAGCTTCACTTGTTTGCCTGCTGCTCACCTCCTGGTGTGTGGCCTGGTTTCTAACAGGTTACAGACAGATATGAGTCTGTAGCATGGGGGTTGATGACCCCTTCTCTAGGGAAAAATCTGTCTGCTTGCCTTTCTAGCTCCCAGAGGCCACCTATATTCCTTGACTCATGGGCCCCTTTTCCACTTTTAAGGCCAGCAGTGGTGTGTTGAGTCTTTCTCATACCTTCTTTTCTCACTCTGATTCTTTTGAAACCCTCTTCCACTTTTAAGAATCTCCTTTGTGATTATATTAGGTCACTTGGATAATTTAAGCCAATCTTCCTATTTGAAGATCAGCTGATTAGCAGCAATAACCCTGTATACAATCTTTATTCCTATTTGAAATCTAATAACATATTCATGAGTTAATAGGATTTAGACATATTTGGGGGACCATTAATTATTTTTTTTCTAGATTTTGTGAGCTGGTATGTGTGCTTGCTGGAGGGACACACACACACACAGAGGATAGCAACAGAGAGGGAATGTGAGAAAGGCCCTCCATGGGGGATGGTCATGCTACAATATCTTCTTTTCCATTTCTCCCTTCTTTGGGATTTTGGGCATGCACACACATGTGTCTGGAGTGTTTCTCAAAGCACCACAAGGTCTGGGACTGGAATTGTACAGTTGGCCATGTGGAATCTTAACCACCATGTCATAAGCTTGCCTGGGAACATTAATTCTGTCTACCACACCTCCATTGTCTTCTCAGTTACTTGGGAAGCTCCTGTCCTCCTACCCTGTAGCACCTGGCACAGTGAAGGACTCAGATCCTTAGCAAACAGTCTGCTCTTGCCTGACTCAGAAGGGGAGGACAGGAAGTTGGGAAACGTGTATAGGGCTTGGGCTTGAATCTCATTCAGTGCCTGTGTTCATGGGGACAAATAGGAATTTTATGGCTTAATCATTCTGAAAGGATCTTTGTTGGACTTTACCACGAAGCTAACTAACTAATGCTACCCTTGGACTCTGTTGAAGCTTTCATGGCCCTTGTGCTTGGTCTGTAAAAAATAAATTGAGCTGACTGCTCCTACAACAAGAAACTTCTCTCACGGAAGGGAAAAAAAACAAAGTGTTCTGCCTTAGCAGAAGCAAATGAAGTCTGGCACCTGGCAGGTGCTTCGAGGACACAGATGTAATTCGCACAGGGAAGGCCTGCTTTGGCAGCCTGCTCCTTCTCTTCCTTTCTTTATTCAACTGGTATTTATGAAGCTCCTGTGAATACCAGGTAACATACTAGGCACAGACATGAACAAGATATAGTGTCTTTATTCATGGGTGCAGCTTGGAGGCCCCAGGTGAATGGCAACAATTCTATCATAGTTGTTTATTCACTCAGGAGACTCCTGCTTTTATTCTGATAATAAAATTACCTTACTTACACCTACTGTGTGTTCTATACTTGAGGTCTGATATCTGTGCCCATCAACAGCTTTATTAAAAGGCACGATACTTATGCCATTTGTCAGCTGTGCAACCTGGGGGGAAGTTATTATTTAACCTCTCAGGGCCTCGGTTTCCACATCTGTAAAATGGGATAATAATTGTAGCTCCCTTGTTATTGTGCACTTAAAGTGACTTTACACACATAAAGTGCATACGAAGGTACCTGGAATAAAGGAAATACTCCCTACATAGAAACTGTTATTAGTATTGACTGTTTGCTGATGGGGAAGCTGAAGTTCAGAGAAGCCAAGTAACTAGTCCATGGCCTTCTTTGGGTCTTCCTTTGGGTCTCAGCTCCAAGACCTTTTGTGCCTGCATCCTCACTCAGACCAAGCAGATCTTCATTCCTGATGATTGTCACTTGAACTCTTAGTGTCCCACCTACGTCACATAGCATCCTTAGGAGTTTTAAAATTTTGTGTACACTGCCTTGTCTTCCCCTCGTTTGGTGCATTATTAGCCTTTCTCAGGGTTTCCCTGCCTTGTCTCCCCTGCAGCAGCAGTCCCCAGCCTTTTTGGTCCTCGAGACTGGTTTCATGGAGGACAGTTTTTCCATGGACCAGGATGGGGGAGTTGGTTTCAGGATGATTCAAGTGCATTCCATTTATTGTGCACTTTATTTCTGTTATCATTACATTGTGATATATAATGAAATAAATATACAACTCACCATAATATAGGATCAGTGGGAAGCCTGAGCTTGTTTTCCTGCAACTAGAATGCAACTGCATTCAAAGCCAAACTGGAATTATGGGGATGATGAGTGAGTAGTGGGATTTTTTGACAAGTTTCAACACGAGAATCTAATGTGACCTAACTGACTGCAGGTGGAGCTGAGGCAGTAATGCAAGGAATGGTGAGCGTCTGTAGAGATGAAGCTTCACTGGTTTGCCTGCCACTCACCTCATCTCTGGGCTGAGGCATGTGGGAAGCTCCTAAAAATATTTGTTTGTGGCCACCATGGTAGAAAACATGATGTTTTTAATTCACTGTCATCACCAAAATGATATTATTAGCTAGTATATACTGAGTGTTCTTCTAAGCGTTCGACATGGATTAACATGTTTCATCCTTATTGAAACTCTTGGAATTAGGGACATTGGTGATAATATTTCCGATTTGGGCATGAGGACATGGAGCCAGACAGGTGTTAAGTAATTGGACAGACAGTTGGAGATGGTGTCAGGAATTAAACTGTTGATGATGTGAGTTTGTGAAAGGGTAAACAACACCTACTAAAATTCTAGGTGAAACAAAAAATAATCATATCTTGATTTTAAAAGGAGTAGCATTCCTGGAAAATTCAATGTATATTAAACCCGTGCAAAAAATAAAACTTTATGTGTTTCTATAAAATGGAGTTGGAGAATTCTGAGGAGGGTTTTCATCTGCATTCATGTCCTTTGGGATATTTGGAGTCTTGGTCAGCCAAAAGACAGTTCTTCGGCATATGAAATGGTCTGTGGGGGCCTTGTCCTTCACAGAAGGCATGTGTTTCTCATCTCTGGTCCTCCTCCCCTGAGTACCCGCATTGCCTGTCTTCTTCCATCTTTGTGACAACCCAAATGGCCTCCTCAAATTTCCAAAATCATCCTTCGGGGGTCCTGCCCAAAGAACCATTGGCCTTGATTGGGTTGCTTCTTCTAATTGCTTCTCAAAGTCCTCATGGCATCTCTTCCCCAAACCAGCATTTGGGTCCTACTGCCCTTCCTCCCCCTCTCTTCCTTATGTAGCATCTACTTTGTTAACTGAATACACAGGTCAGTTGGTTTGGGTGGGAAAAGAAAGATCGATTTTCAGAGCGTCTTTTGAGGGCTAGGCATTATGTGGGATTCTTTAAAAGTAGGTGTTTTCTAGACAGAGCAGAGCTTTATTTACACGATAGATGCTCAAATCCATTCATTCCCCCAGCCCCACCACCACTCATATCTGCGTCCCAGGCCCTGGGTTAAGCACTTCACACACAATCTCAATCAAATCTCACCACATCTCTAGGAGGTAGGGATGCTCTTTTTCTTTATTCTACAACTGAAGGAAAGAAACAAGGCATGATAAAGGGAGATATCTTGTTTAGGGCCACATAGCCAGGAAGTAGCAAAGCTATGCTTTGTCTCAGGATTGTTAGACACTATTGAATTTTTTTAAAAAGTTAATCAATCAGTCAGTTTTTAAAGACAGGCTCTTGCAGTGTCACAGTCCTTCTGCCTCAGCCTCTCAAATAGCTGGGACTACAGGTGTGTGCCCCTGGTCCAGGTTGGTAGGGTAGGCTGGTGTCTTACTCCATTGTGTTGCTAAACAGAAATACCCAAGAGTGGGTGACCTGTAAAGAATAGAAGTTTATTTGTTTCATGATTCTGGTATCTAGAAAGGCCAAGGTGCGGGGTCAGCATGAGGTCAGCTATGGGTGCCGTGTCACAATGTGGTCAACAGGAACACAGAGAGGTGTACATATGCAAAGAAAGAGAAAACAGAATTCTCATTTCCTCTTTGTCTCTCCTATGTCCCCAGCCAATTGGATGATGATTAGGCCTCAACCCTTAGAAGTCTTACCATCTCCCAAAGCCATTACACTGGAGATCGGGCTTCCAAAGCATGAACCTTTGAAGACACAAACTTACCAAATCATAGCAACCAGGAATTGAACCAGGTCTCCCATGTGGCCCCCCACTGAGTAGAAGCATCACCCCATACATACTGCTGTGGCTGGGCTTGACACTATTAAATTTATGGTCCTGACAACAGTCCCATTTTACAAGGGAGGGAATGAGACAGTCTGGAGGGTGAGGATTGTCTAGGGATGGGTTAGTGTGTGGTTATTGCCTGGGGCCTAGGAGTTCCCTGGCTGCATGGACTTATAGCCATGGGCCTGACATTTGTCTTACAGGCCAACACCAACACAGACCTAAGGCTGGCAGCTGCCAACGGAGCCCTTCTGAGACACCGGGTGCTGCTGGGAGTGACAGACACGGTGGAAGGATGCCAAAGTGTGATCCAGGTATTGTGTCTTTGAGTGACCTCTCCTTGATAGCTTTCTTTTGGGCTGGGCTAATGGAAGAGGTGGCCTCTGTTCTCCCAGCCCACATGGTATCCCCTGGAGTGAGTTGATGAGATGGCTGCCAGCAGCTCTTCACTCCCTTCCTGCTCCAGAGTTTCCTCCTCGTGATGCTCCTTGTTTGTGTACTAAGGGGCCCATGCACGGTCCCTATCTTGCAGGAGCTCACTGGCTTGTGAGGATGACAGGTGCACAGTCAGGCAGTGAACAGTAGCCTCTCCTGGCCTATAGCAAGGAGACAGATAGCCTCTGACAAGGCCGAGTGGCTAGGTAGACAGGGTACTTTTGAGGAACTACTAATTAGTGGACACATCTTTTCAGACAGTTGGGTTCCTTTACTTTAATATCTTGGCATGACAATGTCTACGCTGTCCTTCACTGGTGGGTCCAATGGGGGTGGGCAGGTGTTGGGGATGGGTAACTAGTGAGAATAAAGGTGTAACAAAGTGACCCTGAGGTGTTAATATTTGAAGCAGGGTGATGGGTAGCTGTCATCTACTTTATTTTTTTTTTCAGAGAGAGAGAGATTTTCGCTATAGGGCATGTGTACTCTCCAGAGAGACAGAGAGATAGAAAGTGAGAAATCTCCCCTCAGGGGGATGGCCACACTGCAGTCCCTTCTCCTCCATTCTCCTCTCCGGACTTTGGACATGCACGCCAGGTCTGGGACTTGAACCGTGGGTGGCTACATGGGAGTCCAGTGACATAACCATTATGCCATCTGCTGGTCTCAGCTGTTATCTACGTTTGTATGTGTTTGGAAACTTTCATATGAAAAAACTTTTGTACACTTAGCAGGAATAGAAATTAGTACAGCCATTATGGAAAACAGTATGGAATTCCTCAAAAAGCTAAAAATAGAACTACCTTATAATTCCCCTATTGATTATAAACCCAAAGGACAGGAAATGAGTATGTCAATGAGATGTCTGCACTCCATGTTTGTTGCAGCACTATTCAAGGTAGCCAAGATGTGGAATCAGCCTAAGTGCCCAACAATGAATGAATGAAGAAAGACAGTGTGGGAGAGTACTGTAATATTACTTAGCTATAAAAGAGGATGAAATCCAGGAGCCAGCAGGTAGTGTGGTGGTTAAGGCACTGGACTTCTACATGGCTGACCATGGTTTGAGTCCTGGACTCAATGGCTTGAAAGTCACGCTGGGTGCACTTGGGTGTGTGCCCTAAATCCCAGGGATTGTGGCATGGCCATCTTCTCTAGGGGGCGATTTCTCACTTTCCCTTTCACTGTCTCTCTCTCTCATCTCTCTCTGTTGAATACACACACCCTGTGGCAAAAACCTTAAAGAAAAAAAATGATGAAATCCTGTCAATAGCGTTAACATGGACGAACCTGGAAGAAATAATGCTAAGTGACATAAGTGAAATAGGCTAGGTTTCATTAATGGAAACTAAAACATTTGATTCTGTATGAGTGGAGAACAAAGCGGTGGGTACCAGAAAGTGGAAAGGGGTGGGGAATGGTGGTGGCGGCAAGAACTTGGTTAACAGACACAGGAGTGCAAGTAGGGAAGTCGATGAGTTCTAGAGCACTGTAGCACAGCAGAGCAACTAGAGGGGCTGACAATTCAATATCATTTCAAAACAGCTAGAACAGAGGATTTCAAATTTACAACCTAAAGTCATGGTCAGTGTTTGATATGGTTGTTATGTTCATTGTCCTGATTTAATTATTACACATTGTATTCATGTATTGAAAAACCATACACTATCCCACGACTATGTCAATAAAGAATAAAATAGAACGGATACGATTTTTTTTTTTTGGAGAGGTTTTTGCTATAGGGTGCGTGGGCTTGCCAGAAAGGCAGAGAGAGACAGAGAGACAGAAAGTGAGAAATCACCCCCCAGAGGAGATGGCCACGCTGTAATCCCCTCTCCTTCATTCTCCTCTTGGAATCTTGGGCACGCACGCATACGTGCATGCATGAGTTTAAGCCACCGGGTCCAGGACTCGTACTGTGGTTGATTACATGGGAACCTAGTGATGTAGTCATCACGCCATCTGCTGGTCCCAGAACAGATAAGATTTAAAGTGTAATCTTTTAGTATTTCATGGTGGAAAAAAAATCTCAAAATTCATTTCAAAGTGAAAAAAAATCTGTAAAACAATATATTGTAATCTCAATTTGCATATGATCCCTATATAGAGTAGATATATACTCATAGACTATAACCGAAGGGTAACATCTCGAAGTATCAATAGTGATTATTTTGGGGTAGTGAATTTGTGGGTTACTTTTGTCTTTTTGTATTTTTCAAGTTTTCTAAAATTAATAGGTAGTACTGTGTAAATAAAAAGTATTTAAAAATATTACAAAAAATCATTTGAAAAATAGTCCTTGGAGATGAGGCAGTGAGAGACTAGGTGGGAGGAGGGATGTGATCTTGGGTCTCATGAGTGAGTGACTGGGAGGAGGGAGTTCTGAGAGCCAGAGGAGGTTATAATTTGAGACAAGGGCCACGCTTATATGGAACTTCTATTACGATACATGTTAGGTAGGCGTGGCCCCGACCAGATGTAATATATGAATGCGGACGTCAGCCTAAGTTTAACCTGGCCTTCCGTGGACTGATGAGGTTGCGATGTAAGGGGAAGTGTGAGTGGGTACGGGCTTCTTATGCTGCTCCCTTCCCACCAGAACACCCCAACTGACAGTCTTAGATTTAACTCCTGGCTGTCAGCTTTGAAAAGTTTCACTCATTTGCACTTTCGGTCCCAGACAGAGAGGTACACGACTTCTGAGAGTGAAGTTGATACCCCCAGATGGACACATGCTATCCGGGATGGTGGGGAGTCTATCTGGGATGCACAGTGACTTTGGGGAGATGAGGTCACAGCCACTTTGAACAGAGTTTGACATTTTCTACATTTGCACACGAAGCCATTTTTTCTACGAGTCACACAGTGGCTTGGGACTCTGGGAGAGAGCAGGATGATGTGTTTGTGACAGAGAGCAGGATGAATCGGGTGGTCCTCAGAAGGGCGGGCCTTCCTTGAGAGGCTTGATCTCCAGCAAAGGCTTGGGGTGGAGGATTCAAGAGCCTGCTGGCTTGGAGATGAGTCACGGCCTTTTCTCTCCACAGCTCTGGTTTGTCTACTTCGACCTAGAGAGCTGTGTGCAGTTTTTAACTGACCATGTTCGAGAAATGAAGATTAGCCAAGAGGTAAGATATCTTAAGTGAAAGAAAAACAGACGAAAAATAAACCAGAAGGCCAGATTGTGTACATTGCATGACCTCAGTGTTGGAAAAATGTCTAAGAAAAAGTTACTTGAAAGGTAGAATTCCTATGTGGGGTTAGCAGTTGTTTTTGCCAAAAGAATTATGGTGTTTTTCTGTGTCTGGTTAACCAGTCCCATTTTCTGTATTTCCCAAAGTGAGCATATATTTTTTTCTTTCAGAAAGTTTATTTCTTTTTTTAAAAAAGACCTATTTAGTTAGTTTTACTTGTTATTATTATTAACTTTTTAATTTGACTAGAGAAAGACAGAGAGAGAAAGGGAAAGTGAAAAGCCACCAGGTATGAGACTTGAACCGTGGTTGGCCATGTGGGAGTCCAGCGCCTTAACCACTATACCACCTGCCAGCCCCAAAAGTTTATCTTTTTTATGAGAGTAAGAGACAGAGAGAAAGAGAGAGAGACAAGCACCTTCAAAGGGGCCTCACGTTGTGATCACTCCCAGCCTTCCCAGCCAGCCCTGGGCGCATGTGCCCAGGTTGACCGAGAAAGCAAGCCCAGGATCTTCCACACACATCCAGCCTTGCTTCAGTGCCAGTGTGTTACTGCTGCACCAGCGAACTGGCCTATATGTTTTTAATAATAATAATAGTAATTATGATGTAATAATAATAAATTCTGTGGATCTGATAGTATCATTCATTCATTTAAAGTGCCTTTCTACCAATTTTTTTTTTTTTTTTTCTTAACAAGATCAGGGCATCTTGTTCTAATTCTAGAGGAGGAAACTGAGGCTCTGGGAAGACCTGTCACCTGGCAGTGGTCAGAGAGTTGGGTGGTGACACTCAGGTTTGGAGCCTAGGCCACTTGTCTCCAAGCCCTGGACTCCTTCCCAAGGATCACCTTTTCCTGGTCTGTGGAGATGCTGTGGCCTTAAAGTCAGGATTGTGCTTTGACCCTTATCCTGGCACTAGTTCCTGGGTAGCCTCAGGCAAAGCCTTTGAGCCTCAGTTTGTTCATCTTTAATATAGTGATAAAGATAAAGCTGCATCCCAGGCTGCTTTCTCTCTCTCTCTCTCTCTCTCTTTTGTTTTTTGGAGAGGTTTTTGCTATAGGGCACGTGCACTTGCCAGAAAGACAGAGAGAGACAGAGAGACAGAAAGCAAGAAATCACCCCCCAGAGGGGATGGCCATGCCACAATCCCTTCTCCTCCTTTCTCCTCTCGGGATCTTGGGCACGCATGCACACGTGCCTGGCATGAGTTTAAGCCACCGGGTCCAGGACTCGAACCGCAGTCAGCTACATGGGAGTCCAGCGACATAGCCATTATGCTAACTGCTGGTCCCTCCAGGCTGCTTTGAAGAGCTAATGAGGGCATGGAAAGAAAAGTACTTTGGAAGTTATTAAGGACTGTACTCTTGTAGGGAATTATGTAATCTCACCAGAGCGACTCAGTTTGATTCTTCTGAGGTCGACATCTGTGTTTTTGGGTAGATCCATCCTCGCTGATTCTGCATGTCTGGGAGTAACTCAGCCTCCCAGATGCACTTACGTTAAAACACACCCAAGCTCCCTGTCTGTTTCTTTTGCAGTCCTTGCTGAGAAGCAGATTAAGCCAGTTGTGTGTTGTCATGGAGACTGGGGTGAGCCCAGCTGCACCAGCAGAGGAGCCTGACAACCTGGAAGAGACGCCTCTCCTGCCCAGCAGTCCTGACCCCAGTGAGAGACCACTCATGCAAACTGAGCTTTACCAGCTCGTTCCTGAGGCTGAGCCAGAGGTAATGGGCACTGCCGCCAGCCAGAGCCATCTTCCTTTATGGGGTATTTGCCTAGAGAGTCTGTGTGCGGGCTTCAAGTTTAAGGTTCCTGGGACATGACTTCTGTGACATGGCAGAGACCATACAAATCTTTGGGACCAGTAGTTTTCTATCTTTTTTTCTTGAGAGATTTTTGCTATAGGGCACGTGTGCTCACCAGAAAGACAGAGAGAGACAGAGAGACAGAAAGTGAGAGATCACCCCCCAGGGGGATGGCCATGCTGCAATACTTTCTCCTCCATTCTCCTCTCAGGATCTTGGGCACAAACACACACGTAAGGTTAAGCCACTGAGTCTGGAACTTGAACTGCAGTCGACTACATGGGAGTCCAGCGACATAGCCATTATGCCAACTGCTGGTCCCAGTAATTTTCAGTCTTTTTAACCCATTCACTCCAGTACTTTTTAAAACAGTTTATAAGGATCCTTTTATATTAACTGGGATTTTTTGGTTGCATTTTTTATTATCTTGGATTTTTTGGATAGTTGCTTTGGATTGGTAGTCGCATGTTGATGAATCTTAGCTTACTTAATCATAAACATATTGATGAATATTTGGGGCTTTGTCAGTTGGTCAGTCAATCAACCAATCAATCTATTCATCTATCTACTTAAATTATAGTTGGGTATTTGACTCTTAAATGAATCTCTGTTGGTTGAATTTTTTTTCTCTTTTTCTAAACTTTATTATTTTATTTCTTTAGAGAGTATCCCCCAACAGGAGCCCCACATTACAACCTGCCCCAAGAATCAAGCATGTGTATCTGTACACCTGACATGCACCAGGAGGTCCTGGGATATGAACCCAGGACCTTTCCTATGTGAATCTAGTAGCATTACTGCTGTGCCACCATCTTGCCCCCTCTGGTAAAGTTCAGTTCCTCCAGCCCCACAGGTCTGTTGGATCCTGTCCTTTAAGCTGTCTGTTGGAAATGAATAAGGACTAGTAGACCAGACATCTGGAGAAGTAGCTTGCAGCTTGTTCTATTTGGTTCTCACTATGAAGACAGACCCACTGTTGGGGAGACCAGCAGTGAGGGGTGACCTCAGGTGCCATTTGGAACTTTAGGCAAGCGCTTGCCTTTTTGAATACTTTATATTTTTCAGCCAAGATGTTTGGGGATTCAAGGTCCAAACCAGCCCAGACTTTCTCTTTTGCACTGATAGGAAATGGGAGGCCTGCACATGGGACTGTTTAAAAGAGAAAAATGATAAATGTATCAGCACTTGAATCCTATAGCCTTTTTTTTTTTCTTAAAGAGCAGAAAAGATTGATAAGGGCATATACTTTATTGTGACATGCATGTGTGGGTTTATATGCAATAGCCCATTAACTATGGGACTTTTAAATTATTTTTTCAAATTCATTCAAAACAATGGTAATACAATTTCCTGTCATGAATACCAAATGGGTATGCGCACATGTTTTTAAAATAACTGCCCTTATAATTTAGCTGGGGAAAATACAGCCAATGCCTTAGTGTCAGGAGGAGCCCCGTTTCTATGGGAGATGGAGAGACAGTCATAATGACCTTGTACATTTTTACAGATTTTCATCATCCATAAAATTCTTTAGCGTGCCCTCTGAGGTATGGATTACTTTTCTTCTTCCTTTAATAGATGAAATGAGGTCCCAAGAGGTCAACTGATTCACCCAAGGTCACAGAAGAATGTGACAAAGGCCATTTCAGAACCCAGCGCTACTGATTCTAAGAGCCAATTTTCTTTGCTGCTTCTTTTTTTTTT